ACCGTGACGTCATTTTTTTCTCAAATATCTCGCAAAAACAAAAACAAACAAGCAAACAAATTGAAACGAAAATAAAATAAAAAAAGAAGTTAACTAACACATTAAAGTTAAAAAATGCAAAATAAATAGAATTTAATAATAAAAATATTAATAATTATTAATAATAATTAATAACAACTATTATTTTAATCACAATTACAAATATCCGTAAATAATAATAAAAAATTGTTCAGAATAAAAATACAATGGGGAATTGTAACTCTAAATTTGTATACAAGAATAATCATGAAAACGGCTCTAATGAGGGTAAAATAAAAATTATAATAATAATATTATCATTTTATTATTAATAATTATTGTTTCATTTTTATTTATTTATTTGAGGTTTCGACAACACATACACGTGCGTGTGATAGCCATAACCGCTAAACTATCTCACCAACCAATAATAATTATATAATATTACAAATAATTTAATTAATTATGTTGACTATATTTTTGACTTTTAATATAAATAATTCTATTTATATTCAATCAAATTGCTCTGGCCGTAAGATTAGCGAGTGTGAGTGAGTGTAAGAGAATGAAGGAATAAAATGAAAAGAAAAACAAGAAGAAGAAGAAGAAGAAGAAGAAAAGTAAAGAGAAAAGTAGAGAAAGAGAGAGAAAGAGGGAGAGAGAGAAAGAGAGAGAGAAAGATATATTTATCTATTGTGTTTTTCAATTTAAATTTATATTTGATAATCAGATTGTTTTGCTCGCAACAACTTCGCCGTGTCACAGCAACAGCAGCAACAACATCACCATCAAATAATAGAAGACAGTTCGCCAACCAACATAGAATCGTTCATGGAGAATTTGTCAAACATTTTTATCAAGTCGTTCAACTAACCATTATAACCCCACGAACTTCATAAGTGATGGAGAAGTAGTTAAAAAAGGAGGTAGAGATTTCCGAAGAAAATGGCCTGAAAAAGCAGACGCTGACTTAACATAAGAGTGTTTTACAGGAGGTAAGAAGAAGTGAAAACGAGAAGACGATTGTAAACCGGGATGTTTAAGTTTAATTAATATCATTAATATAATATATCTGGTTAATACTTAGGAAATAATTAATATTTGCGTGTTCCTAATTTATTGCCCCTATCTAAAAGATGATTTTGTGTTGGAAAATAATTGAAACAAAGTGGATCAATTAAATGATTAAATAAATGAGTGTCATAAAATACATGATAAAAGCAAAAAATACACAATATATAAAAAATAATCGTTTACACATATCACACGCTAAATGATTTATTAACAAACATTTTTTATGAACTTGCAATTCTATGGCTCAGGTTTCACAAGGCACCTTTATAATAAATGTAAAAGTCGATTGTTGTTTATATCAGCAAAACTTTTTTGGATTTACACTGGCGTTATTTTCGCTACGAGCCAGTTTTAGTTAGAGAAAAATTTTTGTAATTAGGACAGACGTGCGAAATTTTATAAAAAATATTTTTTTTCTCAATAAATTTGTCGTCTGGAGATGTTAATTGAAATACCGTTGAGAGATACGGACGATGAAGTTGGGAATTTTCAGTTAATTTTTTTTTAATTTTTATCTATAAAAAATTTAATTTTTTAATTTCATTTTATTAATTTATTTATTATAAATAGATGGCGTATTAGTTTTATATTTTGTCAGTATTCGTTCGCCTATTTCTTATTTGGCTTTTGTTGAATTATTCACCAAAACAAAATTGAAAAAAATATTTTCAAATAGAATATAATATATTTTATTAAAATTTATTCAATAAAAATGTAAAAATAATTAGGTCATTGAACTGGATTTGGACCAACTGCCGGAGGGGAGTGAGGTGCTGACCATCTTGAGGCAGGAGCAAGCCCCACTCAGTAATTGGGTCACCCTGGCAGTTAGTTTTGTTTCATATCTTTTGGGGGAATTTTTTATGAATTTCATTAGCTTTATTTTATATCTTTCAAAATTATATAGCTAATACACACATCCAGCTAACACAGAACACCAAACTTAGCACACATCCCCACACTAATAGCTAACTTAACACATATCCCCGCACTAATAACTATCTTAACACACATCCTCACACTAATAACTAACTTAACAAACACAAATACGACAGCACGCTTACTACAAGCAAGGCTTCTCCGAAGACTTTGTGAAGATTTTGGAAAGGGCTCGAACTGAAGCCAGCATAAACTACACTAACTACGAACGTGATCAGATGGCTGCCTTCGATAGCCTGGCCGCCTACTATGTCCAACAAGCCCACAAAGAAAAAAATAAAGACAAGAAGAGAGAATTTTTCACACAGGCAACATTGCTCTACACCATGGCAGATAAGATCATTATGTATGACCAGGTTAGTTATGGGAGTGCCATGAGAATTTCATTCATTCATTTATTTGTTCATTCGTTCATTTGTTCATTCATTTGTTTATTCATTCATTTGTTCATTCGTTTGTTCATTGATTGATTGATTCATTCATTCATTCATCACTTTATTGACACATCTGATTAGCAGTCATGATAGTTATAAAATTAAAGTACATTTTTATATTACATTTTAACCAGCCAATAAAATTGATCCGTATATTTTAACCAAGCAATAATATTAGTTTAACTTATTTTAACCATCCAATAGAATCATTTGCTGGGCCGAGCGTACTTCTGCTTATTGGAGGGTGACAAAATGGACCAGGCAGATGCCCAGTATAATTTCGTTCTTGGACAGGTTTATAATCATCATCATAATCTTATCACCATCATCATCATTATCGTAATCTTATCATCATCATCATCATAAGTCTTATAACAATTGTTATTATCGTCATTCATCACTTTTTCTTCATCATCACTTTTATCATCATCACTTCTATCCCCATAATCATCATCATAATCATCATCATCGCTTTTATCATCATCATCATCACTTCTACCATCATCATCAACATCACTTCTATCACCGCCATCATCACTTCTACCACCACTATTGCCATCATCATCGTCGTCGTCATCACCGCAATCATCATCGTCATCATCATCGTCATCATCTTGAACAGTCGCAGAACAACATCCCGGCACTTCTGGGGAAGGCTTGTATACTGTACAACAAGAAGGATTACAAGGCAGCCCTGGCTTACTACAAGAAAGTTCTCCGGATCAAACCGGATTGCTCGGGATCCGTCAGGTACGGGATCGGCCTCTGCCTCCTCAAGCTGGGAAAAACCGAGAGGGCGAAGTTTGTAGTTGTCTTTGTTTATTTGTATCTTTTGTTGTTGGTTTGTTGTCTTTGTTTACTTGTATCTTTTGTTGCACGGTCTGGTAGTTGTCTTTGTTTATTTGTATCTTTTGTCGTTTGGTTTGTTTTTATCGTTTTGGTATTATGGTCATATAAATTCACTAATTACACTAACCATCTTTCAGATACGCATTCTTGAGGGCCCTGGAACTTACCCCCAACTGCGTGGGGGCTCTGGTGGGGCTCGCCATCCTCGAACTAAACAGCGAATCCACCGAGTCGATAAAACACGGGGTGCAGTTGTTGTCGAGAGCCTACACAATTGACCCTTCAAACGCCATGGTCCTCAACCATCTGGCCAATCATTTCTTCTTTAAGAAGGTTTGTTTGCTGTCGGCTGTTATCATTCATTCTTTATATATTCGTTCAGTCATTCAACTTATCAATCAATCATTCAACTTATCAATCAATCATTCAACTTATCAATCAATCATTCAACTTATCAATCAATCATTCAGCTTATCAATCAACCATTCATCCAACATACAAATCACTCAATCAATCAATCTTCAATTAACTTAACCTATCAATCAGCAAACTCACCGACCAATAGGATTACAGTAAAGTTCAGCACCTCGCCCTCCATGCCTTCCACAACACTGAGAACGAAGCTATGAGGGCCGAAAGCTGCTACCAGCTTGCTAGGTCCTTCCATGTACAGGTCTGTTTGTGTGTGTGTGTGTGTGGTGTGGTGTGGTGTGTGTGTGTGTGTGATTATCATCATTATCATTACTTCAACTATCATCATCACCATGACCACCCTCATCATCATCATCATCATTACTTCAACCATCGTCATCATCATTATCATGACCACTCTCACCATCATCATCATCATCATCATTACTTCAACCATGGTCATCATCATCATAACCACTCTCACCATCATCATCATGACCACCACCACCACAGGGTGATTACGACCAGGCATTCCAGTACTACTACCAGGCCACCCAGTTCTCCAGCACCAACTTCCTCCTCCCCCATTACGGACTTGGACAGATGTACATTTACAGGGGAGACAATGATAGCGTAAGTAAGGGTGTGGTGGGATGAGTGAGAGAGAAAAAGAGAAAGAGAGAGAGAAAGAGAGAGAACTGTGTGTATCTGAATGCTAACGCAATTTGTCAGATGATTATACATTAAACTGTTTCAAATATGATCTTCTGTATATTGACTATCACTTATACCATCATCATCATCATCATCTTCACTATCATCATCATCGTTGTTAACATCGTCATCATCATCTTCACCATCACCATTAACATCATCATCGTTAATAGGCCATAGGCTGTTTTGAGAAAGTTTTGAAGGTTCAGCCGAACAATTACGAGACGATGAAAATTCTGGGCAGTCTCTATGCCGGCTCTAATGACGTCAACAAGTTGAGTCTTGCCCAGGTTCGTTTCTTTGGTTGGTTGGTTTTTAGGTTAGTTGATTGGTTGATGGATTGATAAATTGATTGATTGATGATTGGTTGGTTGATTGACCAAACATACAACTCCACACCTAAGCAACACTTGAAGAAAGTGACGGAACAGTTCCCAGATGATGTGGAGGCCTGGATCGAGTTGGCGCAAATCCTGGAAAGAAAGGATGCAGAGGTTGGCAGATTGATTGATTGATTGATTCATTCATTCATTCATTCACTCACTCACTCATTCATTCATCCATCAATTCATTCATTCACTCATTCATTTATGCATTCACTCATTCATTCATTCACTCATTCATTCAACGTAGGAGGCCTTATCAGCTTACAAAACGGCCAGCAACATATTGAAAGAGAAAGTGAAAGCAGAAATCCCTCCAGAAATTCTGAACAATGTCGCCGCTCTGTACTTCAGTATGGGGAATTACGTCGAGGCCCGAGTTAGTGATTAGGAAAAGTAGAGATGTGCTTTGGGGATATTTCTGTTGTCCTAGTTTAATGATGTTTTATTTGTTCATTTATTTATCCAATCAAATTCAAACAATCCATTAATAGTTTTTTTTAAGCTAAATTATAATCATTGATCCAAAAACATTCAATCCAACAATTTTTTTTAAGCCTACCCACTCAGCCAACCAATCGACCAATCAGTCATTCCATTTTTCAAATTAATCAATCAACCAACTAATTAATCAACCAACCAACTCCAATCAATCAACCAACCAACTCCAACCAACAGTTCAACCATTCAATCAACCAACCAAATAACTCCAACCAAATATCTCCAACCAAATATCTCCAACCAATCAACCAGTCAACCAACTCCAACCATCCAATCAACCAACCAACCACAGAACTATATATAAATTTGTATTATATAATATTCATATAAATTTTATTTACTTAAATTTTTTTAATAAATTATATAGAAATAATGTTTCGCCAAATGCTAAAAAAATTCATTTTGAGTTTTAAATCTAACAAGAGTGGACATAGTAGACACAACAATGAATTCCATTTGCCAGTTTTAAGAACTGAATTACTTAGAAATAGCACCCTAATATCTGGCCATAGATTGTGGAATAAGTCATCACGAGATATCCCAAAAAAATTACATGTTTCTCAAAATTCAATTTTCATACTTTTTCTTCCTTCTTAAAATTTAACAACGATTTAATAACTCTCTTATTATTTGATGTTCTTCAACAATGATTCAAATTTTTTTTTATATATATTTCAGTATGCTAACATTTATTATTTTAAATTTGTTAATTATACCGCTATATTAATTTTGACATTTAATTCTTGCCTGGACAATTTTTATGACTTGTTGATATTCTAGCTAACTTAACAAGCTCTGAATACGGGCTTCTGGTCTTACTTAATAAATGCTTTAATTAAATGGTTAATTAGTTAATTAACCATATATAATTAACCATTAAATGGAAATTAATTAGTCAATTAACCATGTATGATTAACCATTAAATGGTTAATTAGTTAGTTAATTAACCATGTATAATTAACCATTAAATGGTTAATTAGTTAATTAAATTAATGGTTACCCCAGAACTTCTACGAACAATCGCTGGCCCGATCGAAGGAAGAACTGCCAAGCGATGAGACGTATTACAGTGCTATCTCCGTTACGATTTCGTACAATCTCGCTCGCCTGTACGAGGCTACTAATGACTATGACAAAGCCAGTAGCATCTATAAGGATATTCTTAGGAAGCATGCTAATTATATTGATTGTTAGTTTATCTGTCTGTCTGTTTATCTGTCTGTCTGTTCGCTTGTCTTCCCATATGTTTGATTGATTGATTGTTTGTTTGTTTGTTTGTTTGTTTGTTTTTTTGTTTGTTCGTCTATCTATCTATCTATCTATCTATCTATCTATCTATCTATCTATCTATCTATCTATTTATTTGTTCGTTCGTTCGTTCGTTTGTTTGTTCACCGTCGTAATTACTGTCATCATTATCATCATCATTATCGTATTAATTATCACAATCATCATCATTATTGTATTAATCATCACAATCATCATCATTATCACATTAATCATCACAATCATCATCACCACTACCACCACTAGGTTACCTTCGTCTCGGCTGCCTGGCACGTGACAAGGGGCAAATCTACGAAGCCTCGGAATGGTTCAAAGAGGCCCTCCAGATAAATGCAGACCACCCAGAGGCATGGTCTCTCATTGGTCAGTTGGTTATGATGACGATTCAGCTTCTTCTTTTAACATTATACTGGCATCATTATCATCTTCATCGTCGTCATCATCATCGTTGTCGTCATCATCATCATCATCTACTACTGCCACTACCACCATCAGGTAACCTTCACCTTGCGAAACATGAATACGGACCGGGGCAGAAAAAATTCGAGAAAATTTTGAGTGGGCGTTCGAAGGACGACCCTTACTCTATGGTAGCCCTCGGGAATGTCTGGCTGCAGACTCTCCATCAGCCTATGAGAGACAAGGATAAGGTCTGCTTGTTTGTATCACGTGGTCTGCCTGTTTGTATCACGTGGTCTGCTTGTTTGTATCACGTGATTTGTTTGTGGCGGGCGCGAGATTTTGTTTAGTTTGTCTTGTTTTTTTTCTCCTATAATTTTTTCTTATATTTTATATGTATCAATTTTCTTCATAATTAATATTTTTCTAAATGTTGTGTGTGGATGTGTTTGAATGTGTGCGTGTGTGTGTGGATGTGTGTGTGCACGTGTTGTGTCACGTGGTTTTATTGACACTCCGACAAATAGGAGAAGCGTCATCAGGATAGAGCGCTGCAGATGTACAAGGGGGTCCTGAGGAATGATCCAAGGAACATCTGGGCAGCCAATGGGATAGGTTAGCTTGTTGATTGATTGATTGGTTGGTTAATTGATTGATTGTCTGATTGATTGATTGATTGATTGATTGATTGATTGATTGATTGATTGATTGATTGATTGATTGATTGATTGATTGATTGATTGATTGATTGGTTGATTGATTGGTTGATTGATTGGTTGAGTGGTTGGTTGGTTTGTTAATTGATTGATTCATTGATTCATTGATTGATAAATTGAAAAATGAATTGCTGAATGAATGAGCAAATAAATAAACGAATGAACGATTAATCAATCGAGTTAATCATCTCATTTCAATCACTGATCATCACACCAACATCCTCACCATCACCACCAACATCACCATCAATCACCACTACCGACAACGCCATCATCACCAGGATGCGTTTTAGCCCACAAGGGGTACATAAACGAGGCGAGGGATGTTTTCTCCCAAGTTAGGGATGCAACAGCCGAGTTCCCGGACGTCTGGATCAACATAGCCCACATCTACACGGAGCAGAGGCAGTTCATTGCAGCCATCCAGATGGTCCGTGGATCGACTGAGTGAATGTCTGGATGGGTGAATGAGTGGATGAATGAAGGTATGAATGAGTGAGAGATTGAGTGAATGTCTGGATGAATGGATGTGTGGATGAATGAATGAATGAGTGAGCGAGTGAGTGAATGACTGCATGACTGCATGAGTGAATGTCTGGATGAGTGAATGTGTGGTTGAATGAAAAATGAAAATTTTAACTTCATCGTTAATCGAAATTCTCTCTCTTTCTCTCTCTCTCTCTCTCTCTCTCTCTCTCTCTCTCTTTTACTCACTTTCTTCTTTCTTTCACACACACGCAAACACACACACACACATCTCTCTCTCACTTTTTTCACATACACACACACACACTTACACAAACACACCATTTTCACACCGATTTTAACACACACACACACGCCATCTGTCCCTTCCCCTGATTTGCAGTACGAGAACTGCAGTAGGAAGTTCTTCAAGTACCACAACACTGACATCCTAACCTACCTAGCGGTGGCCTACTTCCGGGCCGGCAAGCTTAAGGAGTGCAGACAGGTGCTCCTGAAAGCCAGACACGTCAATCCAGGTGGAAATTAATCATTCATTCATTCATTCATTCGTTCGTCCATTCATTCATTTGTCCATTCATTCATTCAGTCATTCAGTTATTCAGTCATTAATTAATTCATTCGTCCATTCATTCATTCATTTATTCATTCATTCGTCCATTCATTCATTCATTCGTCCATTCATTCGTTCATTCATTCATTCATTCATTCATTCATTCATTCGTCCATTCATTCATTCATTCATTCATTCGTTCGTCCATTCATTCATTTGTCCATTCATTCATTCAGTCATTCAGTTATTCAGTCATTAATTAATTCATTCGTCCATTCATTCATTCATTTATTCATTCATTCGTCCATTCATTCATTCATTCGTCCATTCATTCGTTCATTCATTCATTCATTCATTCATTCATTCATTCATTCGTCCATTCATTCATTCATTCATTCATTCGTTCGTCCATTCATTCATTTGTCCATTCATTCATTCAGTCATTCAGTTATTCAGTCATTAATTAATTCATTCGTCCATTCATTCAATCGTCCATTCATTCATTCATTCATTTATTCATTCATTCGTCCATTCATTCATTCATTCGTCCATTCATTCATTCATTCATTCGTCCATTCATTCATTCATTCGTCCATTCATTCATTCATTCGTCCATTCATTCATTCATTCGTCCATTCATTCATTCATTCATTCGTCTATTCATTCATTCATTCATTCATTCATTCATTCGTTCATTCAATCAATCTTTCTATAAACACATACACACAGAAATACACAGACGTACACACACACACACACACACACACACAAAGAGGCCAATGTACAACAACCCTACCTCTACACTCCCACAGGCGATACAGTGCTGCTGTACAACATTGCCCTTGTACTGCAGAAGCTGGCAACTGCCGTGTTGAAAGACGAGAAGAGTAACTTGAAGATGGTGCTGTCCGCTGTCCAGGATCTAGAACTGGCACACCGGTTGGTTGGTTGGCTGGTTGATTGACTGGCTGGCTGGTTGGTTGGTTGACTGGTTGATTGACTGGTTGGTTGGTTGGTTGATTGACTGGTTGGTTGGTTGGTTGGTTGGTTGGTTGGTTGGTTGGTTGGTTGGTTGGCTGGTTAGGTTGAATGAATAGATGGATAAGCCAACATTCATTCATTCTTCTTCCTCCACTCCAGCTACTTCACCTACCTAAGTCAGAAAGGTGACAAAATGAAATTTGATCTGGCACAGGCTGCACTCGAAGCCAGGCACTGCGGCGATCTCCTGAGCCAAGCCCAGCACCACATGGTCACGGCCAGGAAGTTGGATGAGGTAGAGCAGGAACAACGTAGAAAGCAAGAGGAAGAGAGGGAGATGATAAGAATGAAACACTTGCAAGAACAGGTGTGTGTGTGTGTATTGTTGTGTGTGTGTATTGTTGTGTGTGTTTGTTGGATTAGAGACGCTTATAAATTGATTGAAAAATTGACTGAATGATTGAACAATCATAATTGGTCGAGATGTCTAGCTGCTAACTTACACATACACACACACACACACGCACACACACGCACGCACACAGTTGGAGAAGCAGAGATTGAAGGAGGAGGCAGCCAAGAAGTTGATTGAAGAGAGGCAGAAGTACATAGAGAAAACAAAGAATCTAATAATATTCAATATGGAGGAGGAGAAACCAAAAAAATCTAATAACAGATCGGTTTGTTGTTGTTGCTTCTATGTTTCTTGTTTTTATGTTGCTTTTAAATATTTAAATCATTGCAAGGAGTTTAAATCCGACTACCCTTTTATTTTTTAATGATCGATCGATTGAGTGGTTGAATGAACGAACGAAAAAATAAATAAAGTAACGAACGAATGAATGAATGAATGAGTGATTGAATGATTGAATGAACGAAAAAATAAATGAAGAAACGAATGAATGAATGAATGATTGAATGAACGAAAAAATAAATGAAGAAACGAATGAATGAATGAGGAAACTCTCTCTACACAAAAATTCCTAACTCTACCCTTCCTAACCCCCGCCCGTCAGCGTAAGCACTACGAAGCAGACGACTTCGCATCGGATGTCGAACACGAGCGAGAGAACCAACCGAAGAAGAGAAGAGGAAGAAAGAGTGGGGGTGCATCTAATCTCCAGAGATCGCCATCTTCATCTTCGTCTGCGTCTGATGATGATGGTGACGGTGATGGTGATGATGATGCCGATGGTGGTAGTGGAAGTAGTGATGGTGGGAAAGAGGGCGACGGTGAGGATGGAGATGCAGAGGAGAAGAGAGCTGAGAGGTATCGTTTTTCTTCATCTTCTTCTTCCTCTTCTTCTTATTATTATTATTATTATTATTATTGTATGTTCTTGATTCCATATTTTTTACATCTTGTACATCGTGAGTTATCAGTTTCATTCATTCATTCACTCACTCATTCATTTATTCGTTCGTTCGTTTAGTCATTCACTCCTTTATTCGCTCATTCATTCATTCGTTTACTCATTCATTCCTTTATTCACTCATTCATTCACCAGATTGAAAAAACGACAAGAGCTAAAAGAAAGAAAGCGCCAAGAAAACAAAGAAAAACGCAGGCAGCGAAAGCAGCAGCAGCGAAAGCAGCAGGAGAGGGAAAAACCCAGCAGTAGCAAAAAACGAAAGCAGCCGCCCAAGAAGGACCCCGTGGGGGACACGGACGGTCTGACCTCGAAACAGAGGTCAAAGGTCGTCTCCAAGGCCATTATATCTTCAAGCGAGGATGATTCGAGCGATGATGGTCAAGGCGGGAAAGCCAACGCTGGCGGTTCAGTTGTGGCTACACAGGTTTGTAGGGGAGGGTTGAAATTGAAAGTGGGCAATTTGAGTCGGTCCGGGTGACCAGTTGGGGTTTTCCCAGTTTGGAATTCTCGAAAGTTGTTCTTTTTAGATTATTAAGTAGGAAAATTTGTTTGGATGTTATTTTTAGATTCTGTGTTTTTGCGTGTGCCTCCTTAGGATCATAAGAAATTTTGTTATTGGTTGATTGGTTTATTTATATTTATTAATTAATTGATTGATTGATTGGTTGATCAATTTTTGATTGACAGGTCCTCAGCCAGCCCACCATCCCTCCACCCCCAGCCTACAAAAGTCGACCGAAATCATCAGACATCGGTTCGTCATCGTCATCAGTGTCATCACTATCATCATCGGAGGGCGATGATGATGATGAGGATGGTACGGGGGATGACGTCACTGAGAAGAAGAAGAGGAAGAAGAAGCTGAAGAAGAAGAAGAAGACGGCCTCCCCTAAGAGAAGAAGAATGTCTAAAAAGATGATGAAGAAGAAGAATGATGACGATGACGAAGACGACGATGATGATGGAAAGAAGGGGAAAACAAATAGACGAAGGAAAAGAAAAATGACGTCATCGTCGTCTGATAATGACGACGGTGATGATGGCGGCGATAAAGCTGAAGAAGAAGATGATGAAAGTGATGATAGTAGTAGTAATACTAGAAGAAAAAGAAGGCGAGTTTCTAATAAGATGAGTGATGATGATGATGGTGGTGGCGATGATGATGATGATACCGGAAGAGGTAGGCAGAAGAGAGAGAGAAAGAACAAGAAGATGATCAACCTACAAGATGATGATGATGACGACGACGATAATAATAATAATAATAATAATGATGATAGCAACGGTAATGATGATGATGGTGGTGGTGGTGATGGTAGCGATAATGAGGGAGCTTCATCACATAAAAGTGGCGATGAGGATGGTGATGAAGAGATGGAAAAAGATAATAATAATAATAATGATGATGATGATGATGATGATGGTGGTGATGAAGATATGGAAAATGATAATAATAATAATAATAATAATGATGATGGTGGTGATGACGATGGTGGTGATGAAGATATGGAAAATGATAATAATAATAACAATAATAATGGTGATGATGATGATGATAGGAATGGTGATGATGATGATGATAATAACAATAACGTCGATAATAACAACAAAGACGACGATGATGATAATGATATCAATAATGATGATGATGATGATAATGATCGAAATGTTCAGTCTGGTGGTGATGATGATGATGACGATAACAATAACAATGGTAGCAATGATGATAATGATGACGAATAAAATCCTTTCTTGGTGACAATTATTATTATTATTATTATTATTATTGCTTTTATTATTATTGTTATTATTATTCGTGCAAACTTTACTACTATTGAACATTCACACTTGTATATTAATGAATGTGTGTGTGTGTGCGTGCGTGTGCGTGCGTGTGTGTGCGTGTGTGTAATATTTAAGTACGTGCTTGGTCAAGTAACATAAAATAGCATTCAGTATAACAATGCTTGTCCATTTTATTGATAGAATATTCGTTAACAAAAAATAAATCATCGGTTAATTGGTTAATTAAAAATAAATCATCAGTTAATTGGTTAATTAAAAATAAATCATCGGTTAATTGGTTAATTAAAAATAAATCATCGGTTAATTGGTTAATTAATAATAAATCATCGGTTAATTGGTTAATTAATAATAAATCATCGGTTGATTGGTTAATTAAAAATAAATCATCGGTTAATTGGTTAATTAAACTGGAATTATGTCAGACAAAAAAATGTCAGAAAAAGAATGTTCAGACATCTTAATATATATGCACCACTAACGGTTGCTAAGGGGTCTCTAGGGCTGAGGTGCCTCCCACAATGAAAATTAGAATTAAGGTAGAGTAGAACAAAACCTCTACATAAATTTCGACTGAAGGTTGTTTCAGCTCTCCGCAGCAAAAACAAATTTGGTTAATTTTCAAAACAGAAACGTTGATTTTAACAGAAAATTCAAAAAAAAATATCACCGATCCAAGCCCTTCAAACATAAAATTTTCTGACCAGCGGTTAATTAATAAATTACGCCTCGGCTTCTTCATTTTCGGTTTCTAAGCACAGCGATTCTTCAGTTTCAGTTCCTTTGATTTTGTATACGGCGATAAAGTTACCGCCGACATAACTAACGTACAGTATGTTTTGGCTAGTTATTAGGGTCTTTTTGGGATTATCAAATGTTTGTATTTTCAAAAAATATTTTAGATTTTTATCAAGAATTAAAATTTCACTTTGAAGGCAATCACTGATGACGTATATGTTGTCGTAAATGTCATGAGACAAGTAAGCTTTTGTCATTCCGGTATATTGGTCTGAAAAGCCATCACGTGTTCGGAAAATATACACGCCTGAAACACGGAAAAGTTCTTGCCAAGTAAGAGTTTGTTGTGCACCCTGTCCCAAATCTAAATCAAAACCATTTGGTGTGTTTTTATAAAGGTTGTTACATATGAATAAACCAAGACCGCTCTCTGAGGCTATCACAAGTTTTTCACAGTTCATCTTTAAAACTTGAAAGATATACGTGTTCATATCAATAAAACTTTTAAAAATGCTTGATTCTTGCAAAGAGTTACTTTCAATTTCGTAAAGTGCGCCGTTACTAGCAGCCAAAATATTTTTCCCGGCTAGAGAGAAGCAATTTATGTTTCTTATTTCTAGGAATTCTAGACCATTTACTTTCATTCTACTACTCAAATCTGCAATAGGACTGTAAATCTTTTCCTTAAAAATGTTTTGAATCATATCGTCGTAATAATAATAAAAGTTATCATCACAACTCAAAATGTCTCCTAGATTTAGAAAGCCGTCACCGATATTTTCAGTTGAAACTTCTTCGGGATTAAGGAGGTCTTTTGTGATAAACTCGTTTCCTGAAAAAATGTAAAGTTTGTCGTTTGAGATAGTGAAACACGTCACAGGCACTCCACATTTGATTTCTTTAACCAGAGTAACGAAGTCACGTCCAACACCTATTCAACCGACAAATAATTCGTTACGGTTAGTAAAAAATGTAAATATATATATATATATATATATTATTTTCATACTAACAAATCTTCTTAATTGAGTTTTGAAAAATTTGTGGAAACAGCCGAAAGTTGTCTTGCATCTTCTGGTAGTCTACTTGATAAATTGGATACTCAAATTTTTTCGTTATTTTGAAATCAACCAGGACTTCATCTTCCACGACCTCATTATCAGTTAAGTATTTGACATCCTCTAATTTGTGTTTATAATCTGTTAGATTGTCCCGCAGTTGCTGGAATGGTTTCAAATATGGATGAAGCTTGCTGGTCAGAAAATCATCCACTGCTCTCATTAAATAATTTTTAATTTCTTTAACAACCTCTTTAGTAATTTCTTCCTGAATCTTCATTATGTTCACGTCGAGTTCCTTTATTTTCTCATCATTGGACGCTATCATCTTACTCAGAACTCGTTTGTTGGCTTCAACCCTCTCGGAGGCTAGCATCATATCATGTCTGTTGTGTGTGGCGACCAAGCAAACAACACAGGCCGACTGTCGACATGTCTTGCAAATGAGCTCAATATCTTTACTGTGAACAGGGCAGAGATATCTTTGAGGAGGCTGAAACATTGCTAACGAAATTTTGCAATTTGAAACATAAGTGTAAGATCAACTAAAATAGATAAACAGTCGTTTTTTATCTATTAAAATGTTATTTTTTGATAATTATTATTGAGAGTATAAACAGTTTAGCAAAGTCACTTCCCAGATACACGAAAATGAAACGAGATTCATGGGAAAACCTCAGCACACGCCTATGCTACCTGTACTGGCAAACGCTTGTAGGAATGTCAGATTTTATTCTTATAAACTTTTTGTTAAATACAAATTTAGAGATTTTAAATACTTTTTTATTAAAAATTATAAAAGTTTTATCAACAAGAATTATTAGAAGACAAATTTTTCATCTTTTAAATTCATATGTAACAGTTTAAATATCTAGTAGCTAAACTCGTAAACCAAAACTTTCAATATTTGTGAAAACTTAAACTTTACTGTTGAATATTAAATAATGTAATGGTTAAAGTGTCGGGCAGGGAAAACAGATCGCGGTCAACAATAATGAATAACATTCGTGAAGTCCTTGTGTCACTTGTTGAATATCACCACATTTCAACTACTACGAAGTGTTAAAGACCGGGTTTTGTGGAGGTCGATGGTCACCAATGTCCTGAAAGGATAAGGCACGAGAAAGAAGAAAGTGCCAGAATGACATGACATAATGTAATATAATTAACGTTACACTTTACAGAATATTACATGCCATGTTTTTTTATTTCAAAATCTTCATTTTTTTTAAATTTGTTAACTTTACGTTACATATTTCAATATCTTCATTCATTTTTTCGTAGTACATTGTCTATGTACTAACGTTTAATTTTTAATTTCCTATTTCACTTTTTAAAGTCTACACCTTATACTCTATGGCCATAATAAAATTATTAAAAGTGAATCTCTAGATCCATGTGTTTGTAAGTTTCTTTCAATTTTAATTTATTTTATAAATAAGTATTTAATTGTGAAAAATCATGAAAAAATCGATCGTAACTACGAAATCCGGAAAGACTTTTACCGGTTTGTTATTAAAATTTTTCATTTTAAATTTTCATTTTGATTTTTGCACAAACACTATAACTACACTAGACACAAATAATTAAAAACTGAACCAAATTAGTTATTATAGTTATTAGTCATTAGTTAGTTTTAGTAGGATTTACAATTACAATTAGTGATTTTCTTTTTCATCCTAATTCTAGAAATTGATTGAATACTGAGTGATAACAGATAATATAATATAATAGAATAACAACATTAAAACTTCAGAATTTAATTTATTTAAAGATTAAATAGTAAATTTAAAATTAAATTAAAGACAGAAGTGAGAAGTCAATTGTTTTTAATATTGATGATAATTTTTTCATTGAATATGTTACTTTTTAATTTTTATTTACAAATACTTTAGTTAGAATATTGATTTATTAATTATTATCGTTTATTTATTCATTAATTAATCAAAAGGTAATTAATTGATCAATTATAAAATTTTAGCCAGGCGAGCAGTAAATCACATTCCTGACGAATTATTACAAGACCCAATCTTGAAAGAGGCCATTAATAAAGTACTAACCACTGATTCTAATTAGAATTTAGATTGAGGATAACTGATAGATTATTTTATTTTATTTAGTTTTTTTTTAATAATTTTCTCTCTAGATAAATTATTAAATAATAAATATATTTTATGAAAATTCTAGCTACCCGCCAATTATAACTTTGAAATTTATAAAACAATATGGAAGATAAAGTCGAACAACATCAAGAAAGGTACATATGTATGTATGATTATATATAGTTATATAGTGTTATATACGGTTATATAGATTTATATATAGCTGTGTAGAGTTATTGATCGTCCTACCTCGGGGAACCGGGTCTCTGGACGCAAAACGAAGATTGATTGATTGATTATATATAAAAATATATAGTGTTATATACGGTTGTTAATATGTATATATATAATATATATATATATATATATATATATATATATATATATATATATATATATATATATATATATATGTGCGTGTGTGTATTTAGTGTGTATGTATTATTTTTGTTTCTGTCTGTATGTGTAACTCATATTTTAATTTTTTTATTTTTCATTAAATTTTTTTTATGTCAGTTGCTCTACAGTTCCCAGAAGGGCTGCTTATGTTTGCCAATCCAATTGCTGACATTATAGAGGAGTGAGTGAATGAATGAATTATAGGATTGAAGAAATGAATGAATGACGGATTGAAGGAATGAATGAATGACGGATTGATAGAATGAATGAATGACGGATTGATGGAATGAACGAATGAGAAAATTGAAGGAATGAATAAATGAATGATGATTTGGAAACATGAATTTAAAGAAATTATATTAGACTGGGAGGATGATTTTATGAGGATCATTTCATCAGTCAACTAACCAATCAATCAACCAACCACCCAACCAATCATCCAACCAACCGACCAATCAGCTTTACAGATAGCGAGGTGATGATTTTGGGTGACGTAACGTACGGTGCCTGCTGTGTCGACGACTTCACTGCAAAAAAACTCGGGGCCGAGTTACTCATTCACTATGGACATAGTTGTTTGAGTTGGTGATGGTGGTAATGATGATAATGGCGATGATGATGATGATGGTGATGATGATGGCGACGATGATGATGATGATAATAAGAATAATATAAATGATAATAATATTTTTTAAATGTTTCTCCTCTAAGTACCGATAACCCAAACTCAGGGCATTCAAATGCTTTATATATTCGTCGACATAAAAATTGACTCTCTACATTTCGTCGAGACGTTAAAGTTCAATTTCCAAAGCAACGATGGTGTCCACAACAACAACAACGTCAACAACAACATCAACAACAACAACGTCAAAATAAACAACAACATCAATAACAACATCAACAACATCATCTACAACAACAACATCTACAACAACAACATCAACTACAACAACAACAACAACAACAATGATGATGATAACATCGACAACGGTGATGTCAAGTTGAACAACAGCGAAAGGAATGACGTCATCAAAAAGATTGCTCTTGTCAGCACTGTACAGTTTATAACAACCCTACAGGTTGATGTCGTTGGTGTGGTCACTGCAGCTGCTTCTTCTACTGCTGAAGTCGACGATTTTGTTGTTGCTGATGATAATGATGTTGTTATCGTTGTTGTTGATGATGGTTTTGTGTTTGCTACTGATGGTGATAATGGTGGTGGTGATGATGATGATGTCCTTATTTGTGGTGTCAGTAAAGGCATCATCATCTTCGTCTTCGTCGTCATCTTCTTCTTCATCGTCATCATCAGTAAAGACATCATCATCTTCTTCGCCATCATCATCATCATCATCTTCTCCATCATCTTCATCATCATTATCAGGTAGTTAGTAAAGAGCTGTCTAGTCATTTCGACATTCTCCTACCCCAGTCTAAACCCCTGTCTCCAGGTGAAATTTTGGGGTGCACTTCTCCAAGATTACCTAATGATGTTGATGCTATTGTGTTAGTTGGTTGGTTGGCTGGCTGGTTTGGTTGGTTGGTTGGTTGGTTGGTTGGATGGTTGGCTGGATGGATGGTTGGCTGGTTGGTTGGTTAGTTTGTTTGTTGGTTTGGTTCATTAGTTTGTTTGTTTGTTGGTTGACTTGTTGGCTGGTTGGTTAGTTGATCAAGCAATTAATCGACTAATCAGTCAAACCAATTAACCGACCGACCAACCAACCGACCAACCAACCAACCGACCAATTAGGTATCTCGGTGACGGAAGATTCCACATTGAATCGATCATCATTCACAATCCAGGCGTACCTGCTTTCAAGTAAGAATGGTGATTCACTTTTAAACGTTTCACAGCAACAACAACAACAATAATAATAATACTAGTAGTAGTAGTAGTATTAATAATAATAATAATATTAATAGTAATAATAGTAATAATAATTTCCAAACAGATATGACCCCTACAGTAAGACATTCACCAGAGAGAAGTACGATTTCGAGATGTTGCATAAGAATCGGAAACAGGAAATAGATCGAGCCAAAGATTCTAAATGCGTGGCCGTCGTCATGGGCACGTTGGGGAGGCAGGGATCTCCGAGGGTTGTTGAGGTCCGTTTTGATGATGATGACGAAGATGATGACGATGATGATTATGATGGCAGTTACGATGATAATAATATTATTGTTTTTATTATTATTATTATCCAACAACAATTTTACAGACCCTGAAAGCGAAACTTCGATCACGTGACAAAGATGTCGTCGTCATTCTGATGACGGAATTGTTTCCAGATAAGTTGAAACTCTTCGAAGATATTGATGCGTTAGTCGGCTGGTTGGTTGACTGGTTGGTTGGTTGATTGATTGTGATTGGTTGATTGTGGTTGATTGTGATTGGTTGATTGATTGATTGATTGACAGATGGGTCCAGGTAGCGTGTCCAAGACTCTCCATAGATTGGGGTACTGAGTTTCATAAACCCCTACTAAATCCGTACGAGGTCAGCTAATACTTTCATCATCATCATTATTGTTACTATTATTATTATTATTATTGTTGTTGTTGTTATTATTGTTATTATTATTATACGCAGGCCAACGTGATGATGAAGTCGTTGGAGTACCAGCAGACGTACCCGATGGACTACTACGCCAACAACAGCCTCGCCGACTACGCCGTTAATTATAAAGCGCTACATCATTTATTATGATTATTGTTGTTGTTGTGATTATTATTAGTATTATTATTATTATTGTTATTATTATTATTATAGTTTTCCAGTCTAATTTCAAATGATTATTTTTCTATTTCAATGTTTTTGGGTTTGGATTGATTGATTGATTGATCTATGGATTGGTGAATGATTGATTGGTTGATTGATTTGATTGATTGATTGGTTGAATGTATGTATGTACGATTGATTAACCGATTGATTGAAGATAACATTTTATTTTGATTGATTTAACTTACTAAAACATTGCAATAATTTAATACGTGAATCGATCAATCAATCTAATTTATACTCGAGTTTACTTTTAAAATTATAGTTGCCATTAGCAACGTCGTTAATTAATTAGAGTTTATCACTATTACATTCATCCAGTTGTTAGCTTGTCTGGCCGGCTATTCATTTCAAAATGAATAAATACATATAAATTTATTTTCACAATTAGTTAATTGATATAATTAAATTAATACTAATCCAATTAATCGTAAAAATAGTTTCAGTAATAATAATAATAATAATAATAGTAATAATAATAAACCGCAAAATGTTCCCGACAAAACACTTGACTGACGTGCAGCAAAATGAATTGATGAGGGATTTGGTTGCCAGACAGCTGAAGAATCAGAAATTATACACTAACTTTTTTGTTAATCCTAACAAACCTGGTTGGTTCTGTATATCTATGTGTGTGTGTGAATTGTGAATTGTTTCGTATTGTATACTATTAGTGTTTGTCTTTCTCTCTCTTTTCCTCTTTCTATCTCTTTCTTTTCCTCTTTCTCTCTCTCTCATTTTCTTATTTATAATTAATAGTAAAATTTATATTACGTAAATTGTAATTCTGTCTTTTCACTGTAGCCCCATACGTTACTGATAAGCCGACGAGTTTCATTGAAGAGCCATTGAAAGAGGAATGTAAGTGGCTGATGATGTTGCTGATAATGATAGTGAGGATGTTCTCTAATTATTCGATCAATTAATCCTCAATTAACCGATCAATTAATTAACCACTAATTAAGCCATTCGATCAGTAACAATCAATTAAACCGTCAATTATTTTATCGTCTATTGAACCGAAAAATTGCCAATTAGAACGATCAATCAAACACCAATCAACGACTTATTAACAACCAATTAACCGACTTTTTGATTAGTCAATTAACCGACATTTTGATCAAGTCAATTAATTTTCTATCCAACCGAATATTTCATCCATCCCGTTTTGAGGTAAATTTTTAGCAGATTTCTGCGTGAATGACAAGCCGCCTGTAGAAAAATATAAGTACCCACAAACAACTAACATGGAATACGGCTGGGTCCAGAACGAAGACGTCAGTTTAGTCGGTTATGATTATTGGTAGTAGCATTTCTAGAAGTAGTAGCGACAGAAGTAGTAATAGCAGCGGCAGTAGTAGTAGCAGTTAGTTAAGTCAAAAAGTAGACGCGTAAATCAGCGCATTATACAGCTTTCTTTTGTAATTGATTGGTTGATTGATTGATTGATTGATTGATTGAATGGTTGGTTGATTGAGGTATATTGGTTGATTGATTTATTGATGAGAATAGCGATAATGACGATAATGATGATAGCGATGATGGTGATGATGATAATGATCTTCTCAGTTATACAAGGAAAAGTTCAACAAACGTTTCAACCATCACAAAAGCAAGACAGACATGTACCTCTATATGCAACCTAAAGCAACTGCAACAACTGACAGTGCTGCAATGATTGGTCTTGCTGGGACGGATGATAGAGAGATGGAAAAGAATAAAAGAATGGTTCTGATTGATTGATTGGTTGATTGAATGGTTGGTTGATTGAAATGAATGGTTGGTTGATTGATTGATTGATTGATTGCTTGATTGATTGAATGATGAATGGTGGTAATATTATTATCGTAGATAAGATGTATCAGTCATTTATCAATTCACCAATCAATTAACCAATCAGCCATCCAATTAACCAATCAACCATCCAATTAACCAATCAACCATCCAATTAACCAATCAATCAACTATCTATCCAACCAACCGATGAATCCATAGGGTTCTTTGAAGATGTCGCATCTGAATAAGTCAGCTGCATCCGGACGTTCAAATCCCGAATTAATCCAAACTCAAAACCCGAAAACTTCTTTACTGGGTTCAAACAGTCCCAAGATGACTGCGGCCGCAACTATGACCGAAGTGCCTAATCCGGATCAAAATCCGGAACAAAATCCAGAACCAAAACTGAAGGAGCAAATGAATGAATGAATAGTATTTGTTTTTTAATAGTTTTTTTGGTCGGTTAATTAAATTTAATTGACTGATTGACTAATTGATTTACTTTTGAATCTTCGTAACTTTGATTGATTGGTTAGTTATTTGATTAAATGATTGATAAATTGGTTGGTTGGATGTCCATTGTTGAAGTGGAGAACTCAATTTTTAAATGTTTTGAAAAAAAAAAATTTTTATTCATGTCATTTCAGTTCATTTTCATCATTTATATAATTTTGGGTTCAGTGTGTGGGTTCGAATAATGCATTTCGTCACTTTTAAAATTTTTTTTAAAACTTCGTTCACTTTTAAGCGTCCTGATTTTGAAAAATTCGCAACATTTTAAAATTCCTGACACGAAGTTTGCCGGTTTGTGAATAATTTTTCACTAATTTTCAACCATCCGTAAAATTTAATTTTGAAATTTAACCTATTCATTCAATAAAAACTTGAAGTCCTGTTTAAATTTTTTCAAAAATTTCACTTCCAGCTTAAAAGTTTAAGTTTAGAAAAGAACTTTTAGAAGTTAATAAATAAAGTTTGGCAGCTGCAGAGACGAGGAAAAGCAGGGATGTGCTCACTTTCACAATTTCCATCTGTGGTCTCGGTGAGTAGTTTGGCGACGGCCTGCGAGAAAAATGGACACTTAATATCGTGCAAGAGTAGCACTAACCAGGTTGGTTGACTTATTTTTATTTTAAAAAATTATTTATTTGTGATGTGTGTATGTGTTGCGTGTGTGGATATGTTGTGTGTATGTGTGTGAAAGAGAAAAAAGAGAAACAGATAATACTCATTCATTCCTTTATTCACTCATTCATTCACCAGATTGAAAAAACGACAAGAGCTAAAAGAAAGAAAGCGCCAAGAAAACAAAGAAAAACGCAGGCAGCGAAAGCAGCAGCAGCGAAAGCAGCAGGAGAGGGAAAAACCCAGCAGTAGCAAAAAACGAAAGCAGCCGCCCAAGAAGGACCCCGTGGGGGACACGGACGGTCTGACCTCGAAACAGAGGTCAAAGGTCGTCTCCAAGGCCATTATATCTTCAAGCGAGGATGATTCGAGCGATGATGGTCAAGGCGGGAAAGCCAACGCTGGCGGTTCAGTTGTGGCTGCACAGGTTTGTAGGGGAGGGTTGAAATTAAAAGTGGGTAATTTGAGTCGGTCCGGGTGACCATTTGGGGTTTTCCCAGTTTGGAATTCTCGAAAGTTGTTCTTTTTAGATTATTAAGTAGGGAAATTTGTTTGGATGTTATTTTTAGATTCTGTGTTTTTGCGTGTGTCTCCTTAAGATCATAAGAAAGCTTGTGAATGGTTGATTGGTTGATTGGTTTATTTATATTTATTAATTGATTGATTGATTGATTGGTTGATCAATTTTTGATTGACAGGTCCTCAGCCAGCCCACCATCCCTCCACCCCCAGCCTACAAAAGTCGACCGAAATCATCAGACATCGGTTCGTCATCGTCATCAGTGTCATCACTATCATCATCGGAGGGCGATGATGATGATGATGGTACGGGGGATGACGTCACTGAGAAGAAGAAGAGGAAGAAGAAGCTGAAGAAAAAGAAGAAGACGGCCTCCCCTAAGAGAAGAAGAATGTCTAAAAAGATGATGAAGAAGAAGAATGATGACGATGACGAAGACGACGATGATGATGGAAAGAAGGGGAAAACAAATAGACGAAGGAAGAGAAAAATGACGTCATCGTCGTCTGATAATGACGACGGTGATGATGGCGGCGATAAAGCTGAAGAAGAAGATGATGAAAGTGATGATAGTAGTAGTAATACTAGAAGAAAAAGGAGGCGAGTTTCTAATAAGATGAGTGATGATGATGGTGGTGGTGGCGATGATGATGATGATGGTGGTGGCGATGATGATGATGATACCGGAAGAGGTAGGCAGAAGAGAGAGAGAAAGAACAAGAAGATGATCAACCTACAAGATGATGATGATGACGACGACGATAATAATAATAATAATAATAATGATGATAGCAACGGTGATGATGATGGTGGTGGTGGTGGTGATGGTAGCGATAATGAGGGAGCTTCATCACATAAAAGTGGCGATGAGGATGGTGATGAAGAGATGGAAAAAGATAATAATAATAATAATAATGATGATGATGATGGTGGTGGTGATGGTGGTGATGAAGATATGGAAAATGATAATAATAATAACAATAATAATGGTGATGATGATGATGATGATGATAACAATAACGTCGATAATAACAACAAAGACGACGATGATGATAATGATATCAATAATGATGATGATGATGATGATGATAATGATCGAAATGTTCAGTCTGGTGGTGATGATGATGATGACGATAACAATAACAATGGTAGCAATGATGATAATGATGACGAATAAAATCCTTTCTTGGTGACAATTATTATTATTATTATTATTGCTTTTATTATTGTCTTGTTATTATTATTGTTATTATTATTCGTGCGAACTTTACTACTATTGAACATTCACACTTGTATATTAATGAATGTGCGTGTGTGTGCGTGCGTCCGTGTGTGTGCGTGCGTCCGTGTGTGTGCGTGTGTGTAATATTTAAGTACGTGCTTGGTCAAGTAACATAAAATAGCATTCAATATAACAATGCTTGTCCATTTTATTGATAGAATATTCGTTAACAAAGGATAAATCATCTGTTAATTGGTTAATTAAAAATAAATCATCGGTTAATTGGTTAATTAAAAATAAATCATCGGTTAATTGGTTAATTAAACTGGAATTGTGTCAGACAAAAAAAAATTCAGAAAAAGAATTTTCAGACATCTTAATATATATGCACCTCTAACGGTTGCTAAGGGGTCTCTAGGGCTGAGGTGCCTCCCACAATGAAAATTAGAATTAAGGTAGAATAGAACAAAATCTCTACATAAATTTCGACTGGAGGTTGTTTCAGCTCCGCAGCAAAAACAAATTAGGTTAATTTTCAAAACAGAAACGTTGATTTTAACAGAAAATTTAAAAAAAAATATCACCGATCCAAGCCCGGCGATTCAAAAAATTTTCTGACCGGCGGTTAATTGATTAATAACGCCTCGGCTTCTTCTTTTTCAGTTTCTAAGCTCAGCGGTTCTTCAGTTTCTGTTCCTTTGATTTTGTATACGGAGATAACGTAACCGCCGAC